AGGTCAAAGTACGGTCTTCAACACGGATCCTTGGCTCACACCGCACAGCAAGCTATAAAGGGCCCCAAGCTATAAAGGGCCCCAAAAATTAAGTATATTATTGGTTGTAACGGTGTATATATATATATATAACTTTATTTTCTTTATGATACAGATTTGGTGTACATGCAATATATAAAACAAAAACAAAAATAAAAATGTTACTGTTTCAAGTTAAGAAGAGATATCGTGAGCAATGTCTATAATGGCGATTATGGACACATGCACTATCGATAAACATATTTTTATCCAGTTACCTAGCCCCCTTGCTTTTAGCTTACCTTTCATTACGGGCTTTCCAAACTGTATGAAACCTTGTAGTAAGTGACTTGTAGTTCATTGAGGTATTTATTTCATGTGGTCTGCTCTAAAGCGACCAGAGCTCTCATTGAAAATTGTGCGAAATCCCCGTACTTTTCTTATATTTCTTGACGAGTCTATTTAAGCTAATAAGTGGTTAGATTACATGACTTAATTATATCAAAACAGGGATTTATCAGTCGATGTTTCCCGAACGCGTATTAAATATGATCAGAAACAGACATTAAAGATGTCCATTGAAATAAATAACAGTTCAGAAATGTTTACGACATTAAAAATCGACCTTCGAATGCAAACATCATCTAAAAAAACGTCTTCTGTATTTTAATTGCCATAACTGCAGGCCATACTTTCTCCTTAAATTCTGTTTCATATCCTATAAATATTCCAAATGAAGCAACTGAAACACGTCTATAATGTACAAGGCTGAAGCTTTACAGAATGAAAAGTTAAAAGTACCGAGTGGACAGAAGGATATCATACTTGAAACAATTTGAATCCGTCACACAACATTGTTAATTTTTTTTCTTTGTTTACCAAGTAGGAAGACAGATGCTCACGAATCGGGGAAAGGAAAAGAAGTAAAGGATGGTTTACACTTTGTCTCAGCTGTATCCCCACCACAGTAATTGAAATAAAGTTAACGTTCGGAAAGATCGGATATTTAACTTGAAACAGGTAGATTATCCCAGCGATCAATTTCAGTAAAAAATGTTGCGAGAAAAGTTTTTCGTAAACTCATAGACATTTCAGTATAAATAACGATCAGTTGTTTTTTTGGGCGAAAACAGCTGCAGATCAATGGTGTTGAAATTACAGTGGAAGTCAGCGAACAGGAGTTTGGTCGAATCGATAATACAGTTGTCCAAATAACATAATTTAGGGTAGTCAAAAGAATACTTACATAGATAAAATCGTTTTTATACGTTTTACTGTTCATATAAACTGTAATGAGTCAATTAATGATTTCATTCAGTGTTATTTTATTTGTAGAACTCGTGTTGTTGGTCAATGTTACATTCCATCTATTATTGTTTTCAAGACATTAGGTATAAAACTAAAATTGGTCTAACTCATTATTTAGTCTTTATATACCATTTAACCGCTGGGTAGTAAACTGGTTGATACATATGTTCCATTGCTAATTGCTTTTATCTATTCATTGTAGTTTCAAATCGACGCACATGGTAAAATTCGTCAAAAAATCATTTAAGGTCAATATTTTTTTTTCCCCTTTATGATGAATTTACCAGTTTTGAACATCAGTATACTACCCATGTCTCTTACCTTTAAAAAAATGTAAATAATAAGTAATCATTGTCATCCAAGGGCAATAACTCGTAGTCAACATATATTGTCGATTATATAACTTGTATTGCTGATCTTTTTGCTATTAACACTTTCCGTCTTACGGTCTATCTTTTATAGATAGAAGGCAAACATGCTAAAATGTGTCAAAATCGTAATGTTAGGCAAGAACACATATGAGTAGTTAATATGTTGTCATATTTGTATCTCGTATTGCTGAACACTGATGATTTTTGTCCATCTAATATATATTTCAAGATAATAGGCATAATTGCCAAAATTTACAATAAACGTCATAAAAGAGCTACATTGTATTACCTTTATAAGGATCGGTTTATGATTTGGTTATTTCCGTTTTGTCATATATTCCCTCAAGTATTGAAGTATTTATACATCCTTGGCTTCCACATTTTATGGGTTAAGCGTTCCTGGCGAAGGTCATTCAAGACAAGTGCACCAAACTTATTAAGTGTAATTTCCATTTACAGTTATTAGTCATTTTTGTAGATCATGTATTGCTGATCCGTTTTACACGTCACAAATTCTTTTTATCAATAATAGTTTTCAAACTAGAAAGCAACAAATCTAAAAATTGTTATAAACGCCACGAGAAAGGCAGTATCTCTTATAAGAAGTAAAATAATTATGTAATAAACATAAATTCTTAAATTCATTGGGCAGATACTTCTTTATTGGAAATATTCAGTGTCTACTTCACAAATTAAACAAGATGGTCTTGAGTTATAAATTCTATGCGCTGAAGTTGTAAAATTGAGAATGGAAATGGGGAATGTGTCAAAGAGACAACAACCCGACCATAGAACAGACAACAGCAGAAGGTCACTAACAGGTCTTCAATGCAGCGAGAAATTCCCGCACCCGGAGGCGTCCTTCAGCTGGCCCCTAAACAAATATATATACTAGTTCAGTGATAATGAACGCCATACTAAACTCCAAATTGTACACAAGAAACTAAAATTAAAAATAATACAAGACTGACAAAGGCTAGAGGCTCCTGACTTGGGACAGGCGCAAAAATGCGGCGGGGTTAAACATGTTTTGTGTATCTTTTTGTTTACTTTACAGTTGTCCCTTTATTTGTCTATGTGTTATTATGTCTCTTTCGGTCGTGTGACTATTGACGTGACTGTATTTATGCATCCAGCTATCGGATTTTTGACTTTGGGTGTTCCTGGTGCAGGTGGGTCCAGAGATGTGATTCGGACACAAGAAGTTTTTACAGTATTGTTTTCATTTTGTTTACGCTTGTCTTTACATTTTACCTAATTTGTTCTTTATCGAGAAAGTGTATACTATATACTGTATGTATTATCAACTACAAAAACTTTTGTGTTGGCGTCTTTGTCAAATTTATTATCAACTATAAAAAATGTTTTGCTAGCGTCTTTGTTAGATTTATTTGTATGTTTGATTGATTCTGAATTTTTTAGTCAGTTGAGTTGTATGTCTGTAATGTATGTTTACAAAGTTTGGGCTGCTGAATCCCAATTATTGTCACATTAACCTATTATTACTGTTTGGTGTTGCTCAATCAATTTTATCAATATAACGGAACTGTAAAGAACTGTCATACAAGTGCGAGGTTTAGTTAGCTATAAGTAAAGGCAACAGTAGTATACCGCTGTTCAATAGTCATAAATCGATTTAACTGAAACAAATCCGAATCACAAACCAAAACCGAGGAAACACATCAACTTTAAGAGGAAAACAACGGAACAATAGAAACACTGAACTGCTACAAAAACAAACGCCAACATACATAGAAACGGACTATTTGATAACAACTGCCATATTCCCAATATTATAAAACCAGACTTAACCCACAATTTTCTTCGGAAAACGCCTGTACCAAGTCAGGACTATGACAGCTGTTTTCCATTCGTTTCGTTGTGAGTTTTTATGGACTTCCCATTTTTAAATTTACCTTGGAGTTCGATATTTTTGTTATACTTTTTTATATATCAGTTTATGATTTGAAATACGTTTGACATTTTTTGCAAACGTTTCATTGTAGGAAACAATTAACGCCTAAATGTGAAAAAAAAATCAATTAGCGGCAATAACTCCTGTAAGAAGTTAATTTATGGCTTCAGTCATATTGGTATTTTTATAGATTTTCTATTGCTGATATTCTTTTCGGTTTGGAGATTCTATTTTAGTTTTCAAGCCTTATAATTTCGGTAGATACGGAGGTTAAATTTTGACATTCTCAATATTTATAACTCGTGACGGATTTTCATACGGTTGGTTTTAAGATATCAGTAGGTATTCCTGAATTTTTTCCCAAATGTTCTTTTTTTAGCTGTTGGATGATGGGCCATAATACAAATTTACTTCCTAAAGATCATGTGAAGTTTTCTTTATAAATGCCTTCAGTAGATTCGGAGGTTTACGACAGACGACGTTCAACGAAAGACTTCACGTTATTGCTAAACTCTTATGGTCATATGAAATAAAAAGGTCATTCAACAAAACAAAATTCTTTCTCCATTTAACATCAAAAATATTGTTTTAGAGATTCTGTAAATTCTTACAGTTTACACTTCATTATTTTATACAAAAAAATTAAGGTTAACTGATGCTTTTGTGTGGTCGATCTTAGACATTTTTCTTTCCTTTACATGTTATATAAGCATTATTCAGTTCTGGGAGCAGTTCTGAATGTAGTGGCTACTTTTAAAATTTGTTTTACTAACAAGTTGAAATTTTTCTAACTTATTTGTTAGTTTCATTACGATAATTAGATTAATTACTGAGGTTTTAAATTTTTCTGAAGTAAATAATTATCATTTGGTAATCAAACTTTGAAATATACGTCTTTAATGGAAATCTTGGCTGAAATAATCATCAGTTCGACACGAAAGTAAGTGGTCCAACTTTTATAAGAATACAAGTAAATTCAAGATATGTATAATAATGCATTTCGATCCTAATTTTTGCGCTGGGAATTAGTTTTAAACGATTTCTTAAAGAATTATTTAGGAACTCAGCTTAAGCATCCTTGGTTACCGTTTTACTCATTTGCTAGAACATAGGAAGATATATATATATATATGATATGAAAGTCTCTGTTGAAATTTTTATACAGTAGTCAATGTCAGCTAAGCTTTGCGGGATGATATGAGCGGGAGTGTAAATCCCAATCAGTTTAATCGGATTACTGACTTTGACATTAAAATTGGTTTGAACACTAGCGATTGCATTTCATCATGTTGGTGATAATCTCTATTGAATTGTTAACCTGTAAATTAAATATGATGGCTGTTATTGCCATGAATAATTGGTATACACAAATGAACAGAACAAAACAGCAATGTGGGAGTGATATAAAATGGTAAGGACGACCAAATTATTCATAAAGATGAAGATCTTCGCACTCATTCTTACGTTATCCTTTATATTTAGTCAAGGTAAGATTTATCCTTCATATTTCGTCAAGGAAAGATTTAAGAAACTGAAATTTAAATGTAATATGTGGTTTCTTTTATAGTTAATACTATTTAGTAATGCCAATTTTTGTCGATTTATATATATATAATACTTAATTTACTTACTTCATTTAATATTTTATTCAGATAATTGATTATTAGTGCTTTGTGTTTTTATATAAATCAGATTAGCTGTTAGATGGCATGTCATCAAATAAAAATACATATGTTTATATGGTTTTTGTTGTTTTGATTTTTTTTTTGGAAAAGGGGGGGGGGGGGGGTGCAAAAATGTAGTTGAAATGGATGTGTGTGTTTTGGTGTGTTTTTGTTATTTCATTAATAGTTATAATAATACTATTTGGTAATGCCCTTTTTTTTTAGATTACATTCCTTACTTTATTTCATAATTGTATTTATACATTTATTATTATTTGCTAGATGGCATGTTGTTTAATAAAAATACATATGTATATGTGTTTTGGTTGTTAATTTTGTGTGTGGCAAAAATGTAGTAAAACTCTAGCTATTTCCAAAAATATAAAAAATATAAAATAAACAAAAGGTTATCGAGTTGGTTTTCAAGCCTCGTGCTGTAAAGATTATCATACCTGTCAAATGTGATTGTACAGGAGGAACACAATAGTATGACTAGATAGAAAAGGTAGTGATGAAATTTGAACTGAATTGCAAATTAGCTCTTAACAAATACTCTCATAAAACAAAACGAAAAAGGGGTTAACGTCCTAGTCTTTTCTACAAAACAAAATAGATAAATCTAAAATATTTATTTAAAAATCAAACCATCCATTAACCTCTTGATATAATTCATTACATGTTGAAATAAATATGTTAATTAAAATATATGGAAATATGTTGTATAAAAAAACTGGTATGTCTGTCAATGAGGCAACTATATATGCTTCAAAAGGCCAAAGATCGAGCATGTAAACAACTATACATGTACCAAAAGACCAAAGGACGAGAACGTAAGCAACTATACGACATTCAACAAAGAACACAACACCTACAGGATAGTAAAATATTTAAAATAGAAACAAAAAATAAAAGATTATGACTGACAGCAACAACGGAAACCATTGGATTACCAATTCCTGACTGGGAAAGACAAAGGAATTTGGCGGGATTAACCCACAACCTCGAACACAACATAAAAACAACGTGCAAAAATCATTTAAAAAGGTTTGACTCATTGGAACGGTACTATAAAGCTAAAAACAAAAACGAAAAGACAAAAGACTGAAATTACCGAGTAAGAACACTTGCAGCTTCTAATAACTAGTTCAAAATCCAATTTTTAGTTATATATGATTCTTGTTTTTCTATAGACAAAAATATCAGTCAGTACACCTCCAACCTGGATTAAGTGTAATGGCGTCATATGCAGTTTAAGAAAAGCATACCTTGTGTAATGCTAGAAATTAGGAAATCGATAGGATGAAAACCATAAATGTTCATAATTGAATAGCAATACAAGTTTAAAAACATTAATAGTACCAATTGCACTGCACCAGATGCGCATTTCGACAATAAATGTCAATTCAGTGATGCTCGATGCCAACATATTTGAAAATGCAAACCTTATTCAAATAAACATCTGTGCAAAGATAAATGGGATATTTAGAAAACAGTAATTAAAATAGCTTTGTAGAAAAATATGCATGAAGGCGTACACATATTGTGTCAAATATGACTTTTAAAAGTCCCATAACTATGGAATGACAAATCAAAATATGTTCAAAGTCAAAACGAGTCAACATTCATCAATCCCAACAACAGTCTTATGTTTGTAATAGAAAGTAAAATAACAAAAATACCGAACTCCAAGGAAAATTCAAAACGGAAAGTCCCTTATCAAATGGCAAAATTAAAAGCTCAAAGACATCAAACGAATGGAAAACAACTGACATATTCCTGACTTGGTACAGGCATTTCCTTATGTAGAAAATGGTGGATTAAAGCTGGTTTGATAGCTAGCTAAACCTCTCACTTGTATGATAATAGTTTTAATTTGATCCAAGCATACCAGAGCTAGTGCATGACATAAAAACAATGCTTTTTTTATTTATCTGATTATCAAAGTCCCATAGCTCTGAAATGATATACCGAAGAAAATCGAACGGTGTGTTACGTTTACTAATTCCAGCATTTATGTAAAGTTTCCCGTATATCAATCAAAGCAAACGCAACCTCTACAACATTTGAAAAAATTACATAAATCGGACAATTAAAGTTCCGTAAATTGGAACGTCAAACTAGAAAATTAAATAAAACTTGAAAGGTAGCTTGCTTTTATCAAGCCCAACACTAATGTTTCGAAGAAATCAATATATACAAAAGTAATTTAGAATTTTTATACAAATACATAAAGTGTCTAAGGGGAAATAACTCAGATATTTCAGTTAGAGTAAACTCTTTTCTTTTTTTGTTTTTTGAAAGCATTTTAAAACATCTACCAGCTAATTTAATTTCAAATCCTATCGTTTAGTTTTCTTTAAAGTGACACAGTTCTACCTTTTCAATGTATAATCCTTACACAATTCGATATTTTCCCATAACCCAAAGTAACTGTTATGCATCATTGGAGACATCTTGTGGTGATCCTTTAAAAAGTCTGAATAGGAGGAGGTATTATAAGAGTCATCTATTTAGGATATATGGCCCTTGATTCCGTAAAAAGTGTAGAATTCTTAAAGCCTATCAAAATATTGTCAGCATTTTCGAATAAGTGTATTCGTTATTGTTGATGTCACAATGGTGTCATAAATATGTCGAAATTGACATATTTGACCTAAAATGTAAAACTAAACATGGTTTTGTTACAAATTAGATACAAGTCAATGTTTTACCGAAGAAGATGTTTTACCCACATTAGTATCAAAATATCATCAATATCTTTTGGGGTAAAACCTTTGTTTACTGACAAGTTCTCAAAGTAAGGCTATATAGCAATTTTTGAAATTTGAAACCTTAATGTAGATATGAAAAACAACACTAACAAAAAATAATTAATGTCTTGTAAATATCTAAAATATGTCAATTGGTAGGTTAATAATAAAACTCATTTCCGATTTCAAAGGGCAAAAAATTGTTGCAATATCATTCTGTCTCCTTTCTCGCCCTGCATGCCTAACATAACCTCTTCATCTTGTGAAAGTCATAAGAAAATACGAGGCACACATACCTGTTCTATCGTTTTTCAAAGTCGACCTTATTTGTTATGTCATATTATATTATATATTATATGTTTTCGTTTTTACATTAAGCAGGCAGTTATTCAATTAATCACTAAAAACGTGCCTCTGATATGTGATTTAATCCTGTGCAGTGGCTGATCCAGCGCTTTAAAGGGATGAAGGGTCTTTGCTAGAAATATCGGTAAAGAAGGGCAGTAAAATTTTTAAAAAAAATCACTCTTTTTCGGATATAAGGAGGGACTCTCGGTCATCTGTATTTGCCCCTTCTTTATGTGTGCAGATGTAAACCAGTTTCGTCTTAGTATTTTCTGTTGTAGCTATGAAATATTGGTTGTTATACTTTAAAGTGAATTATCAAATGTAAAAATAACAAATTTAAATTGATTAAATTTTTACTCAAAACATACTTTTTATTTAATTCATCTTTGTCAATATAAATTACACATTGCATGTTTTCTTTATAATTTAAAAACTTGTTAATAAACTTATGTTGATGCCAATCTTGATTTTCAGTCTTTGATGTGTTTGAGTTTCAGCTAATTTTTTTTACTCTCAATTTTGTATATAATATAGCATTAAGGATTTTTAGTTGCTTTTTTATAATTTAAGAATAATAATATCAATCACTCTTCTTTCTTGTTGGTTATTTTACTAGAATGACTATGAGGGAATCCAAGGTAATGCTAATCACGGAATTTAAGCTCTTTCTAACATTAACGGTACACAATTTAATGCTCCAGATGCTCATTACGACAAATACTAGTAATGTCTTTCAGTGATACACGAGGCCAAAATATTTGAAAATTTTAAATCTAATACAATCCGGCATTGAAACGCTGTTAAAACCAGGTTCAACCCACCATTTTTCTTAAAATGTCCTGTACCAAGTCATTGGCCATTGTTATATTATAGTTCGTTTCTCTGTGTGTTGCATTTCAGTGTTGAGCTTCTGTCGTGTTTTGTTTTCCTCTTATATTTGATGTGTTTCCCTCAGTTTTAGTTTATAACCCGGATTTGTTTTTTTTCACAATCGATTTATGAATTTCGAATAGCGGTATACTACTGTTGCCTTTATTTAAAATTTAAATGAGTTTCTAGCAAAGACAAAAATTCAGAGCTTTGCTTGAATGAGATACATTCCTTACTTTAGAATCATATTTACATTTTATTACAGCAAATTTCAATAAAACTAAATCAGCATTTTTACACCAGTACCACGTTTTTAAGCCATGTTTACAATCAAGAGAACATGTATCCTTCCGCTTTCCTAAATTTTATCCTCTGCTGTCCGTGTCATCGTAAAATGTTTGATTCATAAGAAAAGTTTAACTTTGCGAAAATTATGATAATATTAAATCAAATGTAATAAATCATTGACCGAACATGTAATCATATACACTGGAAAAACAATTTACCAAATAAGCAGACGAAGGCGAATACACAGCCATTATCGGTTAATCAAGCATCCTTAATCATTATCAGATAACGTAAACAGTGAAAATCGCATTATGATATGCAAAAATTGATAAATTAACGACGTCGTTATAGATGTTAATTTCAAAATTCACGTTTTATCATTTTTAAATAGCTTTATTAGGAAATTATTGTTAACAGTAAGCATTCGTAAACAAATTAATCATTTTTTTCTTTAATTTTAAAGCCAGGTTAAATGATCTTGAGAAAAAAACCTCTTGTCTGATATCATGTTTAATCATCGTGAATACTTAGATTATAATGACATTTCTAGACTGCACCATACAAGCATTATACCCTCATTATTGGAACAATATAATGATAAGGAGATGTGGTATGATTGCCAATGAGACAACAATCCACCAAAGTTCAAATGAAGCGGATGTAAGCAATTATAGGCAACGGTACGGCCTTCAACAATGAGAAAAACAAATACCGTATAGTCGGCTATAAAAGGCCCCGACATGAAAAATATGAAACATGAGAAATTTAACGGCCTAATTTATAACAAAACCATTTACAAAAAACAAATATGTCAGACATGAACCAACGAAAACCACTGAACTGCAGGCTCCTGACTTGGGAAAGGCACACAAAACATATGGCGAAGTTAAACATGTTTGTGAGCGCTCAACCCTACCTTAACACGGGAAAGTGGTGTTACAGCACAACATAAGAACAAACTATAAAAATCAGTTGGGTTTAACTCATCAGATTGATACAAAGCAGAAAAACATTTACATAAACACAGACCGGACTTGGCAGGGTATTTATACATCCCTAGCCACACAAAAGGCTGGTTCACCGATACGGAAAATAGACATACAAAAATAAGTACTTGGTTCAGATCTCACCATCTTTCATGTTTCATGTTAAAATCGAGTAAAAATCATATTTCCCCCATTTCTTTTTGACATTTAAGTACACGTCTGAATTTGTTTAAATGCTACAAAGAAAACTGTGAGGTACCTCCTCCAAACAATTTATTCAGACCACTAAGACAATTTTCTTTGATCATTTGATAATATGAACAAATTTATCATTCTGTTTTCGGAGCATGTTACGATCATTAGGAAGTAATTGAGGTCTTGCTGTTAAATCAGAACTGTTTAGATCTGTGCAAACAGCACCACTAGACAGTTTTGATCACGTGAGGAACCTGTAGACACAACCGATCTCGCTCCTTTTCAAGTTCACGAAGTTCACTTAGTTTTTTTTTACCTTGATTTGTATCTTCTTAATAGGCTAAATGATTGAACATTGGTTAACTGTCGTGGTCGATACTTGAAAGTGTGAAAGACCTATCCTGTGGATTTGTTTTAGGGGGGTATGAGAATATAATGCCCGTACTATTAAAAAGCAATGTTGCATATGGAGAACCACATCGTTCTGTGAAATCAACAAGGATCACATGAGTAATAACTATGTTGACCTTGAATTATGTAGTATGGAACAAATATCCATTGTAAGACACATAGTTCGGAAGAGGACAATCATTATATTCAATATCATATTTTCAGACTTTCCACTTTCAACACTGAAGATCTCTAGCATCCAGCTTTGTGGTATTTCATGTTGCAAAGCAAAATTTCCTACTCTGCCCCTTAAGCCCTCTTTTTCAGTGGTCACTGTTGACCCTATTTACAGACAGAATTTATAGAATTGATCATTTCTTAATTTATGTATCGACCAAAATAAGCGTTGATTATTTGATACTGGACGTAGGAAAACAAATGCAAGTTATAAAATATACAGTGTCTACTATCAGATTTTGGGATCATTTTTGGAAATATTAAGGCACCACTTTGATTTATATTATATTACAGGAAGATTTTTGTTAATTAACAGTTTACAATTGTTTACCTTTCGTACTCCAGTAAAGCAACATTTGACATACCGGAATTTGCTCAAATTGGCATGGCTATTCTAAGTTCAATTTTCGCTCTCCCACTTATTTCTTTATTTCTTCCACCTTTTAGTGTTTGCTTGGCTGTTCGGTTATTGACATTTAAGACAATCCTTGTCCACTACTCATTTCTCTATCACGTCACAGCTTGGAATTTACAGGGAATTTTTCATTGGTATATTCAAAGGAAAATTCTAGTCCTCCCATTTATATATAACTTAAATATTTACAAAACTTCCAATTGTTCGAAATACTAAGGATTTTATACCCCAGGAATAGATTACCTTAGCTGCATTTGACGAAATTTTTCGGACTTTTTGGTCCTCAATGTTCTTTAACTTTGTACTTAATTTGGCCATTTAACTATTTTGAGTGTCACTGATGAGTATTTTGTGTACAAAACGCGCGCCTAGCAAACAAAATTATAAGCCTGGTGTCATTGGTGAGCTTTTAGAACCACTAGGTCGATACCACTGCTGCCTGGTGGATGTTTCCTTTCCAAAGGTTACACCAGCCCAGTAGTCAGCACTTCTGTGTTGTCATGATATATCGTTGATATGGTCATATTTATAACTTTACTGTTTACAAAACTTTGAATTGTTCGAAATACTAAGGATTTTACCCGAGGATTACCTTTGCTGTATTTGGCAAAACATTTTGGACTTTTTGGTCATCAATACTCTTCAACTTCGTACTTTATTTGTCATTTAACTATTTTTACTTGAGCGTCTCTGACGAGTCTTTTGTAGAAAAAACGCGTGGCAATCGTAAAAAAATATAAGCCTGGTATGTTTGATACTTTTGTTTCACTAGTATTGATTTATCTACTTTATCTTTTTCAGCAATAGCCGATCCTGAATGCTTTGTAGAATGTAAACAGATATGCGCCATATCAAAAACCCAGGCAGCACTGCTTTGTCCTAGGTGTAAATGTGAGTTTATCAATACGTTATACAAGATAAGGTATATTTTATCTATGATGGGAAAGAAGCAATATAGTGTTTTCATTTATGACACAAAACGTGATGATTTCAACTTTCCAATTGTCTCCTTAACATTTCGCCGCAGTAACATATACCCACAACCCTATTGCATTGAGTTTACATGTCCCAATTAATACGTTGCGCTCGTGTATGTTCACACTATACAAACCTCATTTAAAATGAGGGTCGTAGTCCTGGTACAAAAACGACACAGAGTTTTGAGGAAGAACGACTGAAATCGACACTATTTAATGGTCACCATCACGAATTGGTTAACTGATACGATACGCCTGAGTCTCAAATCATTAACGACATCTAGTCTTAGATCTTTAGATACCAGAATAGTCGTTTGATCTGTCATTTTACCGCTTGTATGCTTATCCCGCCTGTGACATTTTGACTGAGGGTGAATGTTCATGGCGGGCGATGCACGTATAGCAGGAGACACTTACAACTACAAGAGGGCGTTTTAGGCGATTCTCTCGGTTTTTGTTTGGTACCTAGATTTGTCGTTTTATTCGATTGGTGAAATTTGAGTATTTATAAACTACTGTTACTTAAATTTCGTGCTGTCACCGTATACAAATTTGATTATGTGTTTCTGCATATTCGGTTTTTCAGCCTGTCCACATATAATATGTATACATTGTATGGTTGGATATCTTTGTTTTTCAGGCTGTTAACAGATAACATGTACACATTCGGATGTTTTTTTTTGTTTGTTTTTCTGGATGTGCACAGATAACATATAAATAATGCATATTTGCATTTTCTTCAGGCTGTCCACAAATAACATGTAGACAATTCATATAAATAAGAAAATGTGGTTTGAGTGCCAATGAGACAACTCTCCATCCAAGTTACAATGTGTAAAAAGTAAACAATTATAGGTCAAAGTACGGCCTTCAACACGGAGCCTTGGCTCACACCGAACTGCAAGCTATTATGGGCCCCAAAATGACTAGTGTAAAACAATTCAAACAGGAAAACCAACGGTCTAATCTATATAAAAAACTAGAAACGGGAAACACTTAAGAACCACATCAACAATCGACAACCACTGAATCAGGTTCCTGACTAAGGACAGGTGCAAACAAATGCAGCGGGATTAAACGTTTTAACAGGCGCCAACCTTCACCCTAACCTGAAATAGTAGTGTAACATTACAACATAGAAAGACACACTATAAAATATCAATTGAAATGGCTTAACTCAATCAAAAAGACATATTAACAAAAACAAGTAAACATACACTGAACGAATAAATTTGATCTATGGCACAATGTCAAAAAGACAACTATAACCTTGGACAAAACTCGTTAAATACAATAACGTACACAGGTAAATCTAAATATATGTTTGGATACTTTTGTTTTTCATGCTGTCCACTGATAACATAATGATATTGCATATCTGCAGATACTGTATGTGTGGATATTTTTGTTTTTCAGGCTGTGCACTGATAACATGTTGATATTGCATATTTCTGGGTTTTTTTTAGGCTGATCACAGATATCATGTTGTTATTGCATATTTCTGGGGTTTTTGCAGGCTGTGCACATATAATATGTTGATGCACATTTGCATATTTCTTGGGGGTTTCAGGCTGTCCACAGATAACATGTAGACATTGTATGTTTGGATATTTTTGTTTTTCAGGCTGTGCATAGAAAACATGTTGGTATTACATATTTACGTTTTTTTTTCAGGCTGTCCACAGATAACATGTAGATACTGTATGTTTGGATACGTACTAGCTAGAGACAGCACTGGATGTAGAAGCTGTAGATGTAAATGGCCAATGTAAACAACCAAAGAAACCCAAATATACACCTTCTTGGTGCCACATTAATAAGTGATTATTTTTGTTATTGTTTATTGGATCATTAAGAATAAATCTAGATTTTTATATGTTAACTGTGTTTATGGCCATTATACCTTTTCTCATACATTTTACATCACCACAATGTTTCTTTAAAACAAGGACTTTATAACATCATTAACAAAACTGAAAATGTAGCAAGAACAAAATTCGAATTCTTAAAAGAGGGACGAAAGATACCAGAGGGACAGTCAAACTCATAGATCGAAAACAAACTGACAACGCCATGGCCAAAAATAAAAAGACAAACAAACAAATAATAGTACAGATGACACAACATAGAAAACTAAAGACTAAGCAACACGAACCCCACCAAAAACTGGGGGGGATCTCAGGTGCTCCGGAAGGGTAAGCAGATCCTACTCCATATGTGGCACCCTTAACATGCATGGATCACAAAATTTTGTTTAGATGGTGTGCCACAGATTCTCCTAAAATGTGTCTGGATATAGCAGTGCAAAAACATTTTAAAATATTTTCAATATTTCCAAAGATAATAGAGCATTTTCTTCCTCATGCTATTGTAATTTTTAAAAGATTCATGTTAAGAATTTCGACCAATTGTGAAAATTTATTTTGATGAGGACCTTCTTCATTGAACATAATACGTAATACCTTAACTTATAAAAGATCATTCCTCAATGATCTACATCTGCTTGGATCACGACTTCGGTTCAAAGAAGAAAAACTGATGTAAACACTTTAACTTGTACCAACTTCATCAACAAGAATATTTAAAAGGGTGCATAGTAAAGTGGCATGTCTGATTTACTGTTTATGATTGACTTTAATGTTTAAAGACTTTAAGATGAAGGTTTTACAACAGGTATCACACAAAATTAACATTATTAAAGATCCATGAAAATGAGGTCAAGGTAAGATAAACCCTGCCGTATGGTCATGTACACCTTACATTTATTCTATTCATCCATTATAACTTATAGTATCTAGGAAAAAGTAAAATAACAAAAATACCAAACTCCAAGGAAAATTCAAAACGGAAAGTCCTTTATCAAATGACAAAATCAAAAGCTCAAATATATCAAACGAATGGAAAACAAATGTCATATTCCTGACTTGGTACAGGCATTCTTTATGTAGAAATGGTTGATTAAACCTGGGTCTATTCAAACATGTTTACTTTTTCTAACTTTCATGAGAATTGTTTATTGCTTATATGACACTGAAGATGAACGATTGAAGGTAGGCATAGAGTTATTTTCGTGTCAATAAGCTTAGTCAAAATGTTTTATTCTATTGCCCAAAGATGGATTATTTCTCAATATTGATGCAAATTTTTTTTAACATTTCATTTAAACAGGTTGGGACTAATCACCCGCATGGGTTATATTAATTATTTGTAAATCAAGCAAAGACTTTTACACATAGATTTTCGTTACATCTTTTTAAACACTGATAAATCATTTTTTTTCCATATCATGCTACGGATTATTGTTTACAAAAAGTCCAACTTGTATAATCAAAGAAAACGTCATGCTACGTCGCAAAAGACGAGTGCACTCTTGAAGGTGTACTTGAATAGATCCATATTTGTACTTGTTTTAACTAATGTCTATATTTAAAAACCTGTTAAAGGAAAATCATTAGTAGCGCTGCATGCAGTAACCCTCCATCGGTTTAGTACATAATTATCAAATATAAAGTACAAGGGTTTGGGTTTTGTAAGAAAAAACCAAATTCCATATGTTTTGCATTAAAAAAACAAAAGGGTACATGATCTTTAAATCTCACGGCAAGATCCGTCGAGACAGGAAGTCTAAATGGGTCACAATATTTAAAAACCAATTGTAACTTTTATTGTACTTCTTGGAGATGTCAAAATAGTATTGTAACTTTTTTAAAATGTGATATGTATCTTTTTTCAACATGTTCAAGCATAATAGCTGTTTTATTTTAATCTTAATATATATTTTTTTATATATTTTGTCTGCTGGCAGATCATTCATTGAAAGTTAGATATTGGTTCCGTAGCTTCAGAGGAGAAGAGGTTTTAAAAATTAACATTTGACAATGGCCAATTGATCGTAATAACTTACATTGTTCATAGAGCCCGATGAGCTTATAAGATAGACATTCCAAAACAAAATCTATTGGAGTAAACATATGTACCGTAAATGGCAAAATATTCACCAGGGGTAATTTACCCTAACTTAGAGGTTAGGGTAAAATAATCTACTTTATGGCATTGTCTTTCATTTCGGTTCAGGATGTCATTCAATAAAAACATTCTAATTAACAGATACCATGTTTAACCCCGCCATATTCTGTATGTTCCTATCCAAAGTCAGAGCCTGTAATTCTGTATTTTTCCTGTCCAAAGTCAGGGTCTGTAATTCTGTATGTTCCTGTCCAAAGTCAGGGGCCTGCAATTCTGTATGTACCTGTTCATAGTCAGGGGCCTGTAATTCTGTATGTTCCTGTTCACAGTCAGGGGCCTTTAATTCTGTATTAACCTGTCCAAAGTCAGGGCCTGTTATTCTGTATGTTCCTGTCCAAAGTCAGGGCCCTATAATTCTGTATGTTCCTGTCCAAAGTCAGGGGCCTGTAATTCTGTATGTAACTGTCCAAAGTCAGAGGACTGTAATTCTATATTTTCCTGTCAAAAGTCAGGGGCTTGTTATTCTGTATGTTCCTGTCCAAAATAAGGGGCCTGTAATTCTGTATGTTCCAGTCTAAATTCAGGGCCTGTAATTCAGTGGTTGTAGTTGGTTGCTGTCTATCATATTTAATTTCGTTTATTGTTTTGATTTGTATATGAGTCTTGCCGTTGTTTTCTCGTTTGTATTATTTTACATTTTATCATGTTAGGGCCTTTTATAGCTTACTATAAGGTATGAATTGCATCTACGTCATGTGGACTCTGGTGGATAGTTGTCTCATTGGCAATCATACAACATCTTCTTGATTATATAGAAATTTTAAGAACTGCCACAAACAGAAATATACAGGGCTAAATAACATCTGTGTGTGAACACTTGACATTAAGTTATTGTGTATATTATGAAATTATAAATACTTTTCTAGTATTTCCATCAATGTTGCACTTGTCTAGGTGTAATCTTAAAATTTGCCGTACTTTATGTACATTTGTATTAAATGTATCAGACAGGATTTGGTTCATCCAAAAACATCACGCTTTTTCCCTGTTTAATTCTATGACATTACGGCTCAGTAAAAAATAAATTTACTTTCTCAGTACTTGCAGTTACATAAACCACACTTCTGAGATAAACTTCAGTTTACGGTAAGGTTTCATATTTACTTTGAAAGAATTTTCACATAAAAACAAAATAGGTTCAATAGTATAATGAAAGACATTACCATTGCATATTTTACATACATCAGATTTAATTTGATTTGTATCAACGGTAACGCACCGACTCATCAATAATATTGTGCGCGGGGGGGTTAAATAAATTGTGTTTGATTCAACATGAGAACTGAATTTTTGATGACCTGAACAGTTATCAGAAGGATCTCATTGAGAATTGGATAGTTGATCTTATGCATTGATGAAGAACTAAATGCATATCTAATCCATATAGAGGACAAATTTGACCAGATAGAAGCTTTGCAAATCTTAAGTACACTCCCACTGTAAGAGGATAGTAAATCCAATATGCACTTGAGATGTAGTGTATTTTTTATTCATGGGGAGCAAAATTATTGTGGATTTTGCGGTTTATTATATTTTCTCTTTTTTAATTCACACCACGAATTTAAAATTCATAAATATGTTTCTAGAAGACATGAATATGCATAAAACAAAAGTTCCTAAAAAATGAATCGTCCACCTTGCAAAAATATGGCATTTTGATATTTATTTTTAGCTTTTTTGTAATCAAAAATGTGTTTTTTAGAAACAGTTAAACTACTTATTTTCAAATATGCAGCTTCTCTAGCGTATTATTCGAGTGAAATCGTGGAGAAAAATTATGTTTCTGTTAGTACCAGGATCATAATAGTTATATAACGATAAAGTCAGAATCAAATTGTAAGCAAAATCTTCCAACGAAGACCCCCAGTCTAATCCCTCAATTCAAAAAGTCATCACAATAACAAAGACCACAAGAATAGATTTGGAGATTTCAATTTGATTGTTCATCGATTCAACAGTTAACAGTTTCACTCTATTTATTACTGTTTTCAAGATGATATCTAAAAATATCAAAAATCCCTAAAAGAACAATAACTCTTATAAGAAGTCAACCAATGGTTTCAGTAATAATGACATTTTTGTGGATCCTGTATTCTGTAGATCAAATATAGGTTTTATGATAATGTGCAAAATTTAAAAATAACTAAAAATTCCTCATTGAAGGGCAGTAACTTGGAATTTTTTTAGATCTTGTTTTATTGACCAGTTTAGCTGTTTACATATATTGCCTATCTATAAAAGTTATTTCTTTTTTAAAGAATCGAAAACACAATACTACCTGATAATCGTCATTTCATGGCAATAACTTCTATAATTGTATAAGGAGGCGTCTGTTCGGTCATTTTTGTCAATGCACATGATTTTATATCTTGTACTTTATCATGATTTCTAGAAAATAGTCAAAAACATGAAAATGAAAAATCAAAATCAATTTTAGGTCAATAACTCCTACAAGGACTCATCTGATAATTTTGGTTCTATTTCTAGCCTTTGATTAAAAAAAAATAAGGAGATGTTGTATGATTGCCAATGAGACAACTTTCCACCGAAGTTCAAATGAAATGGACGTAAGCAATTATATGCATCCATACGGCCTTCAACAATGAGAAAAACCCATACCGTATAGTCGGCTATAAAAAGTCCCGACATGAAACATATGAAACAATTTAATTGAGAGAACTAACGGCCTTATTTATAATATAACTGTTGACACAGAGATATGTCTCGCCTGTCCGCATACAATTCAGAAAAAGACAGTCTGATGGACAGCAACATTGCTTATTAATTCACTGGACCCGGATCTTGTGGGCAGGGCATAGAGATGGTCGACAAACTGAGATGTACTGATAG